TGATCCATTGATCCCATTATCCACTATGATATTATACCTTGATCCCGTGCTCCATGGTTCACAATGTCAATGATCGTCTGATCCAATCAATAACCAATATAACAATTATACTTTGATCATTGTCATATCCTCCTACTGATCCAATATATATTGCAATGGTCCTCAAATCTAATGACTCCATTTCTATTGTGTCTTCTATTGCTTGGGTCCTTATTTGATTCAATTTCAATATATTATATTAATAAATAGACACTCGTAGTTTAGGGGTAAGTAGCATCACACAAATGGTAACTGCTCGGATTTTCGATTTCATGAGGTGCCTGACCAATAAACATATCTAATTTTTTTCTTCCATCATGTTAAAGATTTAATTTAATAACCTCCTGAAGACCTGGCATAACCCGTTTAAGAACTACCTACCTGCTCTTAAGTCACTGAATCTCGCTCATAACAAGCAATTCCTGATGGACAAAGACGGAACAGTTATTGCATACAGTGTCTGGCCCAGTATCCTGCCGGCACCAGTATCCTGCCAAAAAAAATCAACTTCAAATATCTCGTCGGCTTTATTTTTTCAACTAATCCGAAGCTATCCAATTATTAGCCCAACAATTCCGGCTTCCGAAGACAGTTTTGACGGGCTTTTTGTTCAACGCATTCGGGAACGAGGAGAAGAGAAGAGCAGGTAAGTAAACTTTGCCATGCCTAAAATTAGGCTTTTTACTGCGCAGTTAAATCACCAACGATTATAAATGAACTCAAAACATGCGAAATGCGACTGGGATCGATATGATTTTTGATATGATGAAAGAATGATGATGAAAACATTCATAGACTGAGCGAAAGGTCCATTAAATAAGTTTTCGTTTGAATAATACGCTCTAGAAGCAAGGACAAAGTTTAGGGTTGGGGGGCCCTTTTTCCTGCCAGTTTATCGTTCGACTTCTTCTTTGTCTTATAAATTGAATAAAGATCTGTATTCCTTTGCCTAGGAGGTTCTTAAAACTATGAACTAATATTGATAAAGCAGTAGAAGGGCTGTATGTTGCTTTGCCTGTTTTATATTTTCGATTCTACGACCGAAGAGCAGGAGATGGATAAATTAAAACTATAGTGCTTGACAAGTCATTGTCATCGTTTTGTAAATGAACAGCAAAAATATATTCGTAATAATAGCTATGTGAATAATGTATGCGATATATGAGCAGGATATGAAGTGTGTTTTAAATGGGTTTAATTTAATTTATCTAGCTGTTGTCACCAAGCGAGACATTTGTACATTTCGCGCGCGTTCGTGTTAATTATGCATCAATGTGTTCGTGTTTTGTATGGCGAGTGAAAGTCAGGAGAGCCGTTTGGAATTATTTCTCAAGGCGATGAATGATATTTAACTTGTTTTGCAATTTTTAATGTAAGAAACTACAAAGCGCGTATTTAGAAAGTGCATTTTTGCTATTTAGCACCTAAACAACGCAGGGATCTCAATAAACCGCACGGTTATTGGCAGTGGCAGGATACTAGACCAGGTTAAAACTGCGATGCAAACCAATGACAAAGGATACAAATGACAAATTTGTTCTTATTATGTTGTAGGATAATTGATTCATAATTTGGTCGGGTTTCAATGCATTAGCTTTTAATAAAAGGGAGCTACGGTGGTTTTTAGCTGAAGTGGCAGGATACTGGGCTACACACTGTACCAACTGCAGCATCCTTTTAGGAATAAACATCAACCCCAAATTTATATCCTGTAACTTCAGCAGAGACAGATTTTTAAAAAAGTGCTAGGACGATTTATAGAAACTGTATCTACTTCCCAAAAGAGTCGAATGACTTGAGTTGCTCCGTTTTTTAAACGTTTGAAAGACGTTTGCTATTCAATACTCGAAAACTGAGACCAATAGTCTTTGTTCTTGGATCGACTGCGTTGGTACTGAATTTGATCGCCCTGACGTCAATCCTTTCTACCAAGAGTCTTCGTCGTTTGGTGCCGTTTCTAAGTTGTTGCACACTTGTCCTTCTGTGACATGATGATGGGTGTTTACGCCATAGGGACAGCTGTTGCACACGATTTTTCGCCAGATTACTCTGACATAAAGGTGTACCGATATGACAAATCAAAATGCCCAGTATTTTGGGCTTTCTTTATCTTTGGCCAGACCTTAGGTGTTTGCACATGCGTCCTAGTAACCATAGAGCGTTACCTGGCAACAATCTACTGTATGAATCCAATGCTGAAGCTCGAATTGCAGACCATCTCTGTACATTCTGCCAGGCTTTTGGCTCATTGTGCTCCTCGTTGCATTCCCAATTCAGTTAACAAAAACAACCCTTAACTTCATGCGCGTATTGTTGAGAGACTACTCTGCCAAAAGGGGATTATTCGTCAGTCAAGGTCTTATGATAACGTACCTCATCCTCTACATTGTCAGTCTTTATGTCCGTATTTACATATCTGTCGGTAATTCTTTAAGGCAGGTTATGGGTGATATCAAGAGGGAGGCTAGACGAGCTAGTAGGATGGGTGTTATCATATTTACTAACTTCATTTGCTTTGCTTTGCTAAATCTTTTCATGTTTGTGTTCACGACCTCACAGTTGTATGTAGATCTCAATGACTCTTCAAATACTATCGTAAGAAGATGGCTAACACCTATTTTCTCGTTCTTAACATATTTGCATACGCAAATCCTTTTTTCTTTGCCTATAGGAATAACAAATTCTTGTCCTCTTTGAAAAGTCTCCGATCTTTTCTTTCTAAGTTTCTGGGTGTGATGGCTTGATGGCTAGGAATAATAGAGTGGCTCCATCAATTGAGATGAAGACATTAAGTACTTCTGCCTCTAACAATTAAGCATCGTAAACAGAGCCATCTATGGAAATTTGTATCATGGATCTTTATCACACGGCGGCCATGTTTATTCTCATGAAAATAGGTTTTTTTTCTAGGAAATAGCAAAGTTGGGACTTCTTCTGTAAAACTAGCTGTTGCATATTGCATGTATGATATCTGCGTGATTGCGTTAATTTGCTACATGTGATTTAAATCAGTAAAATCTCGTACGAAAGCTCATTATTAATCATTTTGTCACTACCAAACGTATGTTCTAGCTAGTTTAATCTTTGCTTAGTTCTAAACATTTTATAGAGTTTTCAGAGGACTGTTCTCTCTAAGGCTTAAAGGTTATCATATCTAAAGGGCGCTATAGCATATATCAATATAGAATATAGAATATAGAATGTATGATGTATGATGTATGAT